TTCCATCTTGACATTTCGTACTGACAATGTGATTTTCAGACTTCAGTCTCTTAATGGACTGAATTAAAAAAATTGTTCTTTGTTTCCCTTATTCTTTGTTCCTCCTTTGTTTCTCCTTATTAGAATCTTAATGCACCATGTAATTTTTCCTTTGCTATTTATGCTCATGAAGAAAGCTTTTATAGGCTGAACCATTTACGAGCTGCCCAGCCGATGCTCTAATTAATATTGCTCGTTATTTGGCTTTTCAAAAGGAAATTTACAAGATATCACGAGTGTAACTTTTTTTGCAAATTACTTTTAAGGATAAAAATTGGTAGGAATATTTTGTTTCTACCACAATCTTAAGCGTAGTGTGCGATCAGGTAGTGTCAAGTTTTTCTATGTTTTAATTAGTAAAGCTTCCCCACTGTGTGTGTGTGTCTGTCTGTGTGTGTGTGTGTGTCTGTGTGTGTGTGTGTGTGTGTGTGTGTGTGTGTGTGTCTACCGTCTCTGCAGTTTTTCAGTTATACTGTAAGTTGAAATTACTCAACATCTGTTCCCTAATTTACGGTCGAATCGATATTACTCCGTAAGTAATTTTATTCCAAATTCCTTCTTTATTTGAAGATGTGTTTAAAAAAGAAATCCGAAAAATCAATTTTCTGTGCTACTAGTCCTAATCAGAGTTAGAAAAATAATAGAATTTCTCTCATACCCTGAATTGTGTATATGAAAAAAAAAATGATATGTATATGGCGAAATGTATATGCAGCAGCGGTAATTTTTAAATGGCGAAATAAACATGGTAACAAAGCAACACTTGTTTCAGGAGCATATTATACACTTTAATGAAGCAGGGCCAAGTACTGGGTGCTTACAAATTAGCACGATATGCTTTAGAGCAGCTCAGTTATTTGAAAACTCCACGTCGTTTTGAAAAGCTTATTGAAACAGATGCTCTAATGATCAGATCCAAACCGTTTACTGATGCAGAGGAATTGCTGCCGATGTGTTATAGGTGAGTGTTTAAAAAACTTCATGATAGGTCTCAGATGCATCATATACATATGGGTTATACCTCGTAACAACTCTCAAGTCTACCACAACTACGCAAGTTTTGAAATGTATTAGTTTTTTGAAATGTATTAGTTGAAAATAATGGTTATGGACTGCCAACAAAACTTTTTTCAGGTGTGGTATCTCTAATCCTCTCGTTGGCACTAATGAATGCATACATTGCAAAACTCCGTTTATTTTATCATTTGTATCATTTGGGAAGTACTTTTGGATGATCCTTGATATCCCTAAGCACTAGTGTAATTTAAGATAAGAGTAAACAAGAGATCTTAAGATCTTTGGAAGCTTACTTCATCTTTATGCTGTATTCAAATCTGAAACAATGGAAAATTTTCTTCATAGCTTTGACATGGAAAGAAATCTTTACAGAAAAAAATGGAAATCTGTAAATTAGTAAAGTGATAAAGTTGCAAGGCATATGCACATAAATGACCCATTTTTTATCGTATTGTATGAAGTAATTAAATGTATTTATTAATTTCTATCAATGATATTTGGTAAAAATAATTTTTGCAGAGGTTCTGCCCCTTGTAGAATTTATTATCAGCGATGATATAAATTTGGAGGAAGCTCGACAGCTGATCAGTGCTGAACCCCCTCTTGGTCAGAGTAAAAATCCCTTACAGGAGCAGGTCAGTTCAAAAAGTAAAATCCTTTATTGGTCTTATCATGTGCCGACGAAATAAATGACCAAGCGGCTGGTATCATAAATGTCACTTGGGAGGCTTGTGCTCGATCTTTCTGACTTTTTGCGCCATCAGCAAAAATTTTTATTTTTCATTCCATTGTGACTTCTTTCAATAGGTTTCCTATCAGATGGAGTAAAAATATGTTCAGATGAACCTGAAAACTGGCAAAGTTGTGGCAGATCGTGAGACGCTGCTCATGTTGGAAAAGCAACAGGTTATAATTGCTGAGTGGCCGACACCATTCGTTACTCGTTTTTATTACAATGTAATACCAGAAATCTCAATAACTCAATGCAATTCTTGTTATCGTGTTTGTTTTTTATTTATGTATAATTTTTCACTCGCAATTTGGTAATTAACTCACTCTTTCTTGACAGTTAACTTCATTCGGTGTGACAGAGCGTTTCTTCTTACTTTTTATATTAGATTTATAATTTATTTTTAATCGCGGGACTTGAACGTCCTGGAATTTTCGAAAGTATGAATTATTTTTGATAGTGAGTTTTCTCGTTTTTCTGATTTTGCTTGACTATAATAGCGTCGTCATACTGGCTATCCCATTTCCTCACTTTTTAAGTCTTCATTATGCACATTTCTACCAATCAAAAGGTGCTCGATCATCTCGGAAGTGTTTTCATTTTCCGACTATCTAAAATTGCCCGCGTATAGCAAACAGAGAAAATTGATACTTCCACTCAAAACACTCACCTAAAAATTAGTTGAGTCTATTATCCCTAGATATCAGTTTCTTCCCGAAAAAATACCTAGTTCTGTCTCAATCTTAGGGATGTAGACAAACATATTTTCATTACTGAAATTGTAATGGCCGCAGGTTCCTTTTTTTTCCAGATGTTTCATGCGGACGATTTTGAAATGGCATGCCTAAAGACTGGAGCGTGTCCCTTTTGCCATGTGGCTCCATAAAAGAAAACAGTTCATAACTTTATTGACGACAGCGATATAAAATAAACTTATTTCCCATACTTATAAAAGATGGCATTGCTCAATTAACATCTGAGTCCGAGAGTTGTTCTAACAAATTTTATTTAAGACACTTATTTGCAATATTTTGTTCTTAAGGTGGTAATTACAGTAGATTAAGAATATGCAAGTAGGAAATCACTAGCTTTTTAAATTTTATGATCGTTGGACAAATTTTACAACACGAAAAAATAAAATTTTAGGTCTGGTACATATCACTTCATTTATTTCACCATGCTATGCAAAAAATTCCTGCTCCCAAAGTTTATATCTTCATTGCTGTGGTTAAAAAGCTTGTATTTGGATCTGCGTCTCAGAACCTGATCCATCCATTGAATGAGAACTGGCTCCTAGGAGTTTTCCTTACGTTACCTGATCAGTTGCGTATAGAACTAGCAAAAGAACATAACTGATAAATAAGTCAAATCTTTTCATTAGAACTGAAGAGAAACTGAAGCATGCAAGAATATTATATCATAAACCACCACTGTCAAGCAAAAAAAAAACAAGTGCAAAAAATCGTAATAAAATAAATTGTCACGATTAAAGCCGGTGGTTTTAAATATACTGCATCATGGTCCGAAAAGCCGTTAAGTCGTAGGTTCAGATTTATTTTAAGGTTGAGAAGATCTATTCATTACGCATTGTGCTTCATTATACACGATTGCATTAGCCAGTAACGTTATAAAAGGTGCGAATTTAGTAATTGGTGTAAATCATCAGATGATCAACTTAAATTTGTATCTTCAGGCTAAGATGAACGAAATTCGGTTTTCGAAGTTCACTTTTCCTATGTCTTGATTTGGAAAAATAAAACAAACTATGACTAGTCCGTTTGATTTTTGTTTTGTCACAAACTGTTTATTTTTCCGGCTTATATTTAAGAAGATTTCTCATAATAAAGTATTTCTGTTTCCACTAAAAATCTGCCCACAGACGTAACTTTTTTCAATTTGATAATACAAATTTAACAATGCATATGTAAGAAATAGTTTAGGGTACGACCATGATAGCATTAACTTTCTCAACTTCTTGGACATGTTAACGTCTTCAGCTGGGGTATATAAGGTTATCTTCTTCATGCTCTTTTAGAAGTTTTATTTTACACTCTGCATTCTAAATTACAACCGCATCGATATTTGTGCATCTGTGATGTGTTATTATAATGATAATTACTTATTATAATTTATTTGATTCACTAATATCTACAGAACTCTCAGATATTTTCGCTTCTACCTAATTTCTGATAAATTCAAATTTTGTGACTTCAAATTTGTGACTTAAATTCAATTTGTGACTTAAAACGAATCAGTGATTGCAACGGTTTTTTTAGCTGCTCTGCTCCCTTCGCCAAAAGTAACTGCGAAGTTGGTTAGCGGTCTCCGTCTGCTGGTATGAAATGATGGAAAGGGAACTTTATAAAATGTGCTATAATTAAAGACAGAATGATAACAGGAGATTTGTCTAGTTTTTTTTCTATAGATGGCGGAGAGGGCGCAACGCATTCACTTCGAGGATGGGTTCATCATTTATCAGTGGAGGGAATCAAAGCTATCTGTATTGAAAGTATGTTTGCGTTCTGTTTCAGACCAACAGCACTTCCTAAGCATAGAAATCAGGAGGAAATTTGTTGTGGACGAATTGGATGATTACATTCATCCATTAATATCTTCTTCATTCCTGAGATTCAAAACTTATTATCATGAACACTTTGTATAGTTTCAAGCGATTATTACGCTTCCTCCTTATACCATCTGCACCCATCCCTTCTTTTACCGACAGTTTTTACAAAGTAAACTGAGTAAATGAGAATCAGCGTAATCTTACTCCTCTTTAGGTCGAAATAGATAATAATGAAAAGAGGAATACGGACGATGAGTTTATGTACTTTTTTCAATCAGTAATTCAACGAATAGTCAAAATTCCTCGAGTCTACCACTCAGCAATATCCAGTATATATCATCAGTCCATAAGTACGGCAGAGTGATTTGTAAGCAAGTGTTTCTTCCGACGTTTGTGATTTCTGTGCAGTAAAGTGGATGATTTGACAATTTGAAGAAACACTGCAAAAAATAATTGATGTGTCTTACCTTTTTTAATTAAAATATTTGAAATACTGAGAGACGTTTGTGGAGAACTCCAGACAAATTAATTTGAAGTTTCTATGCTCACAAACCAGGGGATGGTAATGTTCAAAGTTCGTGGATGGTAATTATTAGTATAGGAAATAATCGATAACAGTGATGGACAGAGATTAGAAAGGGACTGATAATATAAGAGATATCACAGATGGTATAGTGACGAATAATTGAGTGACCACGACCCGTCGATAGTCCTGCAAATCGTCCATAGTTCATCTTACCTACGAGACATGCAGCACTGGCTTTCTCCCCACCACACGCTTGCAAATTATTTCGTGCTAATTCAGCATTAAATCCCTTGTCCCATGCAATGTGTTATGTGTACGACGATGTTTGTTCTCTCCAGCAAAAAATAGTTGATCAATATGGGAGGCTTGGAGACGCGAAGCGAAGAAGCATAGGAAATGTCTGCGGCTGCGCTTTACGTCCTTATCAATGTACACTCTCTTCGTGCTTTATTCCTGTTTTATAATGGGAAAACTGTCGTGAAGTAAGGAACAGCCGAGTCAGGTATTCTTCGGACTATGTCAGGGCTATAATTATAACAGAGCTCATGTTCTTGTGCATGGCTGTTTGATGGGCTGCCGCTTTTCATTTCTCAAGAAATGTGCGGAGGGAATGTTATCCGTGATGATAACTCTGCCCTGCATCTTTTCCTGACTTCTGTCTCACTTAATGTCGTCTTCGGGGAACTGACGTCTGAAATATTTCTTCCCTTCCATTTATAGAAAAGTTCAGTCGGGATTGTTGTTTGTGGACAGGATTTCTCTGTGACATGATGTGTATGTATCGCTGCATGTGGGGTGTCATCACCATGCAGAAACATTTTTACCGACCTGAATTTGAGGTCCATTTCAGTATGAAATTCGATGAATTGCTGTTCACTACCTTGGGTGAATTCGGTCGTTACCAAAAGATACAGTTTACATTGGTGTGTTTGCCAATTATATTCGTTTCCATGCATGCACTATCGTGGACATTCAGTGCAGCCTCTGTTCCGCATAGGTTTGTGCTTTCTTGGGAACTTTTGCGAAAGGTTTAGTAGTGTGAAAGTGTTTCCAAATACACTTTCAGAACGGATAGTTCATTTGAAAAGACAAAATCAATACATGAATTCACTTTTTGCGTTCAAAAAGCTACGTAACGACATAACATTTTCCAGTTTTTTAGTGATATATGAAAATTTACTCGACAACCGCCAAGGAACTTTGTTAACCGTAGTGAACGAATTTTCTGTCAATCCCTAAGTAAACACTAAATTTTAAACAAAGTCGCACGCTGAGAGCAGTAAAAACAACTGGTATATTGTTGCATGTGTGGGAATTTCGAAAGTGGGAAAGGAATGATCCACATGACTAACAATTGGGGTTGGGCCGACTGGCTGTTGAACTGGTAACAGAATAATATGGTTTTAATGAGGGTTCCACATGAGTGAATTCTGAGGATAGTTAAGAAAAATTGGGATTAATAGCTGCAATTACGTTCAGAGTTCAGAAATTCTGGGCAGTTTATAACTCCTGCTAGTGACTTTCTCCATTGGCGGTGTTTTATGCAGTATTCACGAGTCTCGAGGCACATGTCACGGTGCAGGTGTTCCTAGAATACGTCTGCAACGTTAGCAGGAATAAGCTAGCAATGACGTCATAGCACTGAAGGCCTGAGCGACCCTTAATGCTTTAACGTTGTGACACAGTAATATTAAACTGTTAATCATAAGTATCTAACTTTGTTGATGTCGGGCATTAGTGAATCGAAATTAATACATCGGCAATGTAGCAGGACATTTACCCGAGGGATTCCCATCTTCATGGTAAAGTGTCCACGAAATTAAATAGTTGAACCTTTTTGAAGTATTAACATTTGAATATGTCGCGAACGTGTAATATGCATTCTGTCATGTTCACTATTTCATCCAACGTAAAGAAAACGGAGAACTAAATGTAAATTCACTAGCAATGTAGAATTTGTCGTAATATCTAATTTCTACTGCAGTGCATTCTACTGTAAAGACAATAATCTAATGAAGTATGCGACGCTGTCAATTTCAGATTTTCAACAATATTTTTTCCCTTCCATGGAAATGGAGAATTAAGTCCGCCTAATAATTCTTCAAATTTCAATCTTTTTAAGATGTCGTTTGCCAAATGAAAGGTTGGGTGCAAGCTATTGGACAAAGAGTGATCTGCTTATAATGGCAGCAAACTGTACGGAGAAAACAGAACGGTGCAGATATCAAGAATGTCAGTTACGTAATGACTCAACATGTCGGTTTGGATATGTTTATGATTTATCAGAAATCAAGCACTCGGCCATTAATCGAGTAAGATTTTTTCTTCAGATAATTATTTCGCATAACGATACATGAATGAATTCGAGAGAGAACAAAGCCTTATTTTAGATTGCAAAGTCGAGGAGTATTGAACTTTTGCACTTAGAGTGTAGGAATCTAGCTGCTATCGTTGATGAATCATTCGTAAAAGCGTTTGATTCGAAATAAGAAAGCAGTAGTATCCGCATCTGGTCTCAGGGAATGCCCAGTTACTCAAATCTTGATGGTACCTTGTAGGGTGATCCTAAGGTAAATTCACCGTCATAGATATCAGGTTATTTCCGTCGAACTTATCAATAAATTAGACTACCGGTATTTCCGGAAGCCAGCACACGGCAGTCTTCTTGGCTTGAATATTTCGGGTATAGGTTTTATAGGACTGCGGCACCTCTTAGGCGTTATCACCGGCATACTGCAATGCGGTAAATGTTTTTTAATCAGTATTTTAGAGCTTTGGATGAAAATGACATCAG